GACTGCACCCAAACAAGAATACGGTATGTGGCTAGGTAGCCAGTAGTTATGCATGTATGTAGATTTTACTATATATATTTAGTATATTTAGCAAAATCTAAACTTTTAAAATTAGAGTAAAAAAGATAAATGAAAATCAGTTTTGGATTTGCCTTGGGTAAGGCAATAAATACTCTTGGAGTAAGCGGATTGCGATCCGCTAACTCGTACTTGTTCTAAGTATAGAACGAAAGGTCGATGACCTAAATTACGCTTCCTCAAGCGCAAAGCTAGGCAGCCCACTGCACCCACAAAATGGAGTGGTTGGTAGCTCATATCAGCGTGCCGGGCTTCGTGAAGCCATGAAAATTGCTTATATAGATTCATGTGCGTCGTGCAATTACGTGCGATGTAGGTTGCTACGAACGATAGGGTTATGCAAAGGCGTGAAAGAGCCAAATCGCTGCGCGTTTCACGAGAAATTGAGCGGTTTTTACTTGTTATAAGGGATAAGGACTTTGACAGCGTGTAACGCTAACCGTTTTTCGAGATACGATCATATCCTCGGTGCAACCCAGTAAGAACGCCATAATCATTCATTAAGCTGCAGACCTCATTTTAGGAATAACCCAGTTGGAGCGCAATGAGCCATGAAGTAAGTAGTAGTCGGAGACAAAAGGCGCCACGCACACTCCCTCAGTGTCGTCAACGATGTGTTTGCACGGTACGTGTGTGCAGATACAGGCCATTACTCTAGACAATGCTCTTGATATATTGCCAGTCTACATATTGGGTATTATACGGACCTGGAGTTACCTTTGAAGCAGCAATTCTTCTTTGAGGTGAATATTGTGTGAAACTTTAAGATTTAAATGTAGGTTTTGTACTCATGCTCTAAAGACAAAGTTTTGCAAAATTCAAATCTAGCAATAAAAAAGTCAAAATGTCAATAGCGCCCCACACGCTCTACCGCGTGTTTCATAAGGATCCGGTTGCACCCAACGATCAGTTTCCTTTAGCGCTGAGTTCATACCATGCCAAGTCTGCCCCTACAGATCTTCATTTACGGGAATTTTCCCAGCTTGAAGTTCACATCAAGGCTTTGCAGCTACAAGCGACGAATCCTACCGTCGTGACTGGGTCTCTGACCGAGTGTTTTCTATTCTACTCGAGATTATTTACAGTCGAGTCATTCGTGTGGCCAGATTTCTTAACTGCTGTCTTTACTAAGCTCGCAGAATATTTTGCCTCGAGGTAAAATTGAAACAAAGTTGAATCTAATAGTTTTCAAAATGTTATGGACTCATCGTTTGTTTGCAGTGAAAACGATATTGCACGGAGTACAATATTACGAGTGTTTCAACGCGCCAAAGGGCATTTGACACAAGTTAATGATCCAAGTAAGGTGAGAAGCTGAAATTTCAACGAGAAATGCAATAGATTAGATGAAAACTAATCTCGTTGATGATACTTCACTAGCTGTTGGTACATCTTTTAAAGCCTTTGTTAGCAAAAAGCACTACAACACGAACATTGACGCTACAGATGCTGGCTACAATGCCATCGCTGGTTGTACAAGACACAATTTTACACCAGCAGCTTTTAAAGGGAGTATTGGCTGCTAATCACCAGGAACGTCTTGCCGCAATAGATGCAGCTCGTATGCTTCTGCCTCTATTGCCTTCATTTCGAAATGATGTGCTGATGTTGAGTCTAGAAGAGAAGACGACAACGTTGTGCTGTTTATTAGCCGAGGCAGTAGAGAATCCCGTGGAGGCTCGAAAGATGTGGATACATTGTGCAGAACAATATGAACGATTCGCTGATAATAAAAGTGCGGTGGCTACAATACGTGCAATGACAACGATGACAGCTGTATACCCTCAAGATTTACTGGAAATGCACGGAAAGTTGCTGTATCACGTACTGGATCGAGATCCGCGTGCATATGTGCGGAATTTCATCATATTAATCACGCAGCAACTTATTACAAGTACTTGTGTTGAAATGGTACATGAGTTACTTGCAAGTATATTAGAAGGAGTTTTTGCTCGCATCAGTCAGAATTCTTCTGGACTTATGAGCCCGCGCATTCAGTTGTCTGGACTATTGTTGCTTGAAAAATACGCAAATAGTTTTGAATTAGGCGAGAAAGCGAAAGAATTTCTTCAGCTAGCCAACAAGTTACTCGCACATGCTATGGACGAACGATTTGGAAAAGCGTATACGTCTATTCTTTCGAATGTAGTGCGAAAGTTTTTACTTTTAGGCGATACAAAGTCTCCAGAACAGGCAATTGATACGCTGCTGCTTTTGTTACATCCGCAAGCCGCCATTGCTACGAAAAGCACATGGGGTTATGCCTTGGCAGCGATCGCTCAACTTTGCCAGAATTTTCCCAAAGTTGTGCCACCATATGTAACCACAAGTTTGATTGAGCTGTTATCGATTCCTATAGAGAATGCCTTGGACAATGACATCAAGTTAATTAGGACCAGCGTCTTTCAGGTTCTTGGAGCTCAATTCCAACCACCACCTTTTGACATTATCCAGAAGACGTTTCCATTGTTGCTCAAAGAAATTTCAGCTGTCGGCCAACCGGATGCAGCACGATTACATGCTGTGGCCGCAACGTTTTTTTTATGGACTCAAGACTTGGCGCCGCAAAATTCGGAAGTTGACAATGAAACAAACACTGTAATTGTCGATTTTGAACGACGCTTGATTCAATCAGAGCTATACAAGTCTCATGCGGAGCGATATGAGATGGCAAAACTCGCCATGTTGCGTGGACGCTTCACACTGGCTTTGCAGTTGATACGTGAGATTGCGGCAAAGAATGATACCGAGTGCTTTGGTGGCTGGTTACATGCTCTTCAGAGTTTGTGTGAAGCGGAGTCCCATATTGTAAGCGAGCGATCGGTACACATGGAAAGTTTACATGCACTATCCCGTGCCAATATGTACTTGCAGGCAGCGCGTACATCAAACTTTCGCTTTGATTTTCAGCTGCACCTACTTACACTTCGATTTGAGTGGGAGCAGCTTTTGCTAAGTACTCAACAACTTGCAGGCGAAGCTGCTTATACAAACCAACCAGGACATGCAGCTGGACGAGAAGGTCAATTATGTTTACACCTTCGTGCGCTTGCAGATAAGTTTGGTGTATTGCGTACTATGTTACTCGGGGCCCCCCAGCATGACTTAGTTGCCCTTCAAGTTCACGTGAACTTGTGTCTTGTACTTGCTGCAGGGGTGAAAAGTTTTCTTTTGCTCGAATCGCCAGACTTGATTACTCTTCAAACGAAATTGGGAAATTGTGCGAACAGTTTGCAGTGGAATGCACGAATCGTCGAGATGTTATGTGAAAGTATACGTCTGAAATCAAATCAGATTGCCAAGCTGTCGCGCTCCCGTCAACCAACTGTTGGGGCCCTAGTTCTGAAACAGCTCGTGAATGCTTTGTGTGGTATTCCAATAGCTTTGCCTCGCCTCTTTTTTCGCTCAAGATTACGTACAGAACATCGTCTACGTTCAAGTGCACAGTTTTTGACGTATGCTGAAAATAAGACATTTACGTCCAAGCCGCGCACACGGTCTCAACTTGGCGTACCTCTCGGTACTGATTTCGTAAGTGTGTTGAAGGGTGTGCTAGCGCTATCACAATGTGCGCGAAGTTATTGGCAAGAATTAGCATCAGCTATAGAAGTTGAGGTGCTTGTGTGTGTGGCTGGTGAGACTAGAGGAAAGTCTTTGATTGATGAGTTGATAAATGGAGTAAAAGAGGAAAAGCTTGTGCATTATCGAATGACCGTCACTTTACCTCTGAAGTGGGACCAAGTGGTTACGAAAGTAGCTGAAGATGGAGATGATCAGACACAACTTTACGTACCATTTGAAACGCCAGTGCATGTCAAATCAGCTCAATTGGCTGTGAAAGGCTCGTTTGAGTTGATAGCAAGGCTCAAGTTAGTCGACAACAAAGATCAGAAATGGCATTTGGCTGCTACTGGTAGTCGCCGCGGCTTCATTGTGTACTAAATGTGATCAAATTTACGTAAATTTAACTATAGAATGTATACAATACTGTAAGTTGCTTTTAATTACGTGACATAACAATGTAGCGGTATATTACCGGTATATGTAATCGTAGACACGATTGTTATGCTGATCCATCCAATTTGATAAGAAACTGGACGAGAAATGGTCTTAATCAAATTTTCGAATATCGTAATCACACAGGAAGAAATTGAGGATTCCATTATTTGTGGGTGACTATGTAATACGTACTGTGGGACTAAATTGGAACGGCGCATTTCTATTTGCATAAATACTACTTGACTTATTCTACAGAAAAAGACCAGGTGGTCTGACAATGATATTTCTGATTATTTTATCAGGCTCTTTAATGACAGAAAATTTCTGACAGACTTACAATCAATTATATCTTGAGACTTAATTCCTCGACAATTTAAACTTCGTTTGCAAGTATCTGCCGAAGTTTCTTTAAAGCTTCAGATGCAGTAGGTCGCTCTGCTGGGTCTACTGCTACACAAGCGTATCCAAGATCCACTATCGATTTTGGACCTGCATCGGAAAAATGAACACGCAATTTACCAGCTGCAACCATCTGCATAATCGCCGCGTTCGGTAACTTGTTTGGCTCAGCAGATGAAGATGACGATGTGGTATTGCTGCTATTTTTTGATAAAGCATATGGTGTCGTATGGGAGTCAAGCTCCGACAATACAACACCAAATGAGAACATGTCGGCCTTGTCATCATAACGTTCACCCATCATGACCTCAGGTGCCATCCATAAAGAAGTTCCAATACCTCCAGTCATAGTCGCATCGACACGTTCTCGAGATATGCCAAAGTCTGTCACCTTTGCATTCATATCTTTATCGAGTAAGATATTCTTGGATTTTAAATCACGATGGATGACAGGCTGTTTACATGAGTGCAAATACACCAAAGCACTCGCGACGTGAATAGCAATTTTGACTTTAGTACGGTCAAATCCGACAGCATGACCATTCTTTTCGTAATTGTTGAGTAAAGCTTTAAGATCTCCACCTACCATGTATTCAGTCACAACACAAAGGTCAATAAGTTGATCCCATGCGACACCAACAAATGAAACGATATGGGGATGGTGTAGACTCGCCATCAATTTGACTTCAGATAAAAATGCATTTACGTGGGACATGGTCTTCTTCGTTTCAGGAAGCAGCATCTTTACTGCAACATCTTTTCCAAGGTAGCTTCCAATGTAGACCTCTCCATAGCCTCCACGGGTTAAAAGCTGTCCCACCTTCAAATTTTCGCGAGGGATCCGAGCCGCAACAATGATGTCGTCATCCCACAGTCGGGCGGAATGACGACGATCAAATTCCGAAATAGTCGTGCTGGTTGACTGAAAATACGCCTTTGAAGGGCTCGACTGGGCTTGATATGCATCGTGTCGTCTCGGATCGTCTGATTGATTGAAAACAGGTGAAAGGGGACTTTGGTGACCAGCACGTCGGTGACATCTTCGATACAATAGGATACCAGCAAATATGAGGAGAAACAAAATCCCAACGATAATAACTGCAATGACCCCGCCGCTAACATTCGAGCCATTATCATTTGTGGTAGAAGGAGGGAGAAATTCGCGCACACCATTTGTGGCAACCCCGTCAGCGCTCGAATAAAATCTTCTACCTGATACACACGAGTGGCTCAAAATATCATCTTCTGTGACCGTGTATTCGATCGCAGCAGGGCGATTGCATGAGTTATCCAGGTAATACGTCATATGCGCTGAGCCATTGGGGCTCAACGTGGCAATGACGCTTTGTTCGTCATTGCCAATTTGACAGCTGCCTGTGGCTGCGAAGGCCACGGACTGGACGTATGTCGTACAACTTGTTTCACGATAAAAATCAATGAGCAAATACGCTTTTTCATCGTAAAAATCATCTGCGTGCTCATAAACGCTTGATGGACAGTTTGTCTCCGAGTAATATGTTTTGCCTGCGATAGTAGTCAAGGTACAGTCCGTCTCTAAACAAAAGGCTGCTGGAGCCACTGTCAACGTTATTGGTGAGTTACACGACTCGTCCGAGAATATATCTGTTGCTTGCATCGAATGGATTCCTAAAGCTCCGTTAAAACTTTACAATGCCGTGTCGATCGGTCAAGAATTAGAGAATGGCCAGATGGAGGGATATGAAAAGACGTGTGGCTTCTGAGTCATTCTGACCTTGTGTTGTAATACCGGTAGAATGGGGGAAGTCAAACGGCACATCGGAATCCAGGAGTAAAGCGTTGAACACAGAACGTTTTATGCAAGCAAATGGCGCGAGGGTTGCAGGAAGATTTTTTCTTGATGCTTACTTTAAGTTGCTTAGAACAATTTGAGATGATATTGACATAATGAGCCATAAACAATTTAGAAATTGGACTTGTATCTTAAGTAATGTAATCGAGTTTCCTGTATTATATTTTCGTGATCGTTAGCTAATATAAGTGGGCGTAATTATTCACTACTTGATACCAAGTAGAATGACAATTAAGAAATGCTGTAATTTTTTTGGACACAAATGTATCCTGCAACAATTTCCATTTACTTTTTTTGCGTGATATCTGTCGAAACTGTAAGGTTAGTGATGCAAAATTGGAGCTGCTAGTATCATTTACAAGCCGGGAAACTGTTAATGATGTAAAAGGGTTAAACGCCACACTTTCAACTTTGTATTCAAGAAAATGATGCACCCCATATCTTTGCGCTGCAGTCGATGTTCATTGCGTCGCCAAAGATGCCAAGATATCGGCTACCACTTTTTCTTACAGGATTGGTCAGAAAAAACTAGTGCATTACCTGGTATTTTTGAAATGGCGATACCCATCCACAGTACAAAGTCTACGCTATCACAACTTTAGTCATCAGAATAGCAACCCAAAGAATTATATTCATGTCCATAACGTTTTTGAAAAATGTGGCAGGCACTTTCGAGCCTTTTAATAGCTTAATTTTCCTCGATAGATGCCACAAACAGAAAGCTTCAAAATGGATACCTACCTGTATGTTGGGGTCACAATATATCACCATTGCAATATACGAGCTTTTCCTTCTCAGGGCGAACACTATCAGGCCTGGTATTGCAGAGGCGACCGCAACCGCTTAGTCTATCGATTCGCATGAGAATCATATGGTCACATCAAGAAAACTTACGGATGAGCAAGCTTACCGGCAAATCATGTATTTTACCAGTCTCCAAGCTCAAAATTCGAGACGGTTTGAGTATAGGAGTGCCATTGAAAGCTTCCAGAGTAACTAAAACAGCACCTATGTCAATAAAATTGAGTGCACATTTATCATGATGTTCTCTCTAAAGCAAAAACCCTTACAAATTAGTTTTTTATGCAAAGAAGCCACAACCTTTTGACACTTTACAGTCAGTAGCATAGCCACTTTATGTACCCCAAGGTTACGGCGGATAAAGAACTCCGGTGTTGTGGTCAGCATCTTGATGGTGAATTGGACGATTGAAAAAGCGTTTTTTTTTCACAGACCGTACTCAACTTCTTCATGAACTGATCTTGACGTTGAACTTGTTCATTTAGAGGACTACAGACCCTTACTGCATAGTTGGATGATATAGTTATTTCTTCAATGTGCACAGGTCTGATGCTAATGGACCTTAAAGTGGTTGTACTGCAACTGCATAGAGTACGTACCGCTTTGTGTTTGTATTTTGTACCGGGGCAATCTTGTCATTTTTGGAACAATTGTACGAAATGCAACATTACATTTGGTGTATTTGTGATTACCGGAATATTAGTATGGAACTTCGAAAAGGCATGTGGGCTACTAGCCGCACGTCAGACAAAAAGAAAGGTCTAATGTGAGAGGTGATAAAACGTGAATTTGATAGAAGTCTACGTAGCGTCATTATCAAATTCATGTAAAAGTAAGCAAAGTAACGATGCTGCTTACCAAAAAGGCTCTTGGTTTCGCTCCTGGTAGGAGCACAAGAAACCAACCTCTGTGCGTTTTTTCACGCAGACACACAGATTCAGAACTTCCTCTGTGCAAAGTGCACGGCAACTCGGTTGAGCTTGGATGGACCATCTTAACAAGCCTTGGGTCCCGATATGATTGGGAATCGGCGGCCGAAGGACCAAAAGCGGTAATTGCTCGCCTTAAGGCGCGCATTTAAATGCGCTTATGAGGCACTTCTAGGAACTTGATGGCTTTATCCGTGAAGCCGCCAATATTGAGCGTCCAGCCCTTCACGAGATGGAGCAAAGAAAAATCGTCTTTCTGGATGCGAAGAACTACGATGACCATCGAATCAGCCTTGCTTCAAGGAAAGCGGCGCGTCGCGCTTGCGATCTTCAATGTAGTAGGTCATGCGCGAAATCTGGTACTTACATTCCATAATTCGGCGTGGGATGACTTGAAGTGATAGATGTCACTAGCTCTCAGATACGGTCAATATTATTTGAATTTGGTGCATTTGTTGGCCCAAGTAGCGGTCGAAAAAAATCGACCTGTGCACTACTCTTGTGATTGCAGCAAATGTTGCGAAACTTTGCTGCAACAAATGCTGTTGCCATTGCTACGATGCTAGCTCTTGTCGTACGTCTTTAAGGCTTACCTTGTAATCTGCCTCATTCCATCAGAACACACAAAGTCGCCAGAGAAAAAGATAGTGTGCGAGACATTCTGGGATATGATCCTTCTGTTCGAATTAATGTATGCATACACAATTCGCCACTTGTTGTTGGCCTTTGTGATTGAGTGCTGACACGGATTGGGTCAAATTAATCTCTCTTGCCTAACGGCTTTATGCTTCGCAGAGAAGAATCCGTTATTATCATCTAATTTATTCTCCTCCCTTTGTTGAGGCCATTGTCATGTGAGGCAAATTTTAGCTCAGCAATCAGGTCAATATTATGACGAACCCTTCGGTCTGGGGACAACAAGCGCGATAATCGCTTGGTACCCCGCTTGCCGCACCTGGTTGTCTCTTACCACGCTGTCATAAGGGATAAAGGGATACGAAAACAACCGCTCTGAGTTTTGCACGCAGTGTCATTAATGACGAACTCATTAATAAAAGATGATCACCTTGGCCCGTTCTCCAGTACAACCGTACCAACACGGGGATTCAGCGGATTTGGAATTCTTTGTAAAGCTTTTTCCACGGACAACACTTCAAGCTCAATGACAGCTTCTGCTAAAGGTGATGAAGAGAGACTTTTATTTCCTGGGGCTGCCCAGAACACTCCATTCGCAAGCCGGCGAGCCTCACTGTTCGCACGGTGGGTCCGTCGCAAGGTGATACATACCCGTTAGTAATACCGTAACTTCGCGACAATGCTGAACCATTCGGAATATGCAGCGGGGCTGCCGTAGCTCTTTGCTTAGAGGAAGCTAAGCTAAGGTCACCGACCTTACGTTTTATTCCAAAACCAGTACGAGCGAAGCGGATCGAAATCCGCGACCTCCAAGAATACTTCAAAACTCTAACCAAGGTAAAAACGCTCTTCCGTTCAAAATTGAAATTATATCTAGTTGTTTTAGTTGCGGCAGAGCCGGCTATATCTAAAATCTTAGGCTTTCCTAATGGATATAGAAATACCCAATGAATATGCAAAACCACTGGCAGTCCTGCTACGTAGTGGCTTCTTGTTACGGTGTAGCCACACTATTGCGTGATCCACCAAGCTGTGTCATCCACACCTTTGCACGGTCACACCATATTTTGTGACCCAACCTCTCAGACCAAGGTGCACGTGACCCCGTTACACTCTCCCCCATGAAATTGTGAATACCCACAATTCGCATTTAACTATTGCCTCGTACGAGGCTTGTGTGTCTGACACACTGTCACGTCCCTAGAATCATCTTTACACATTTTCCGCTCAATGAGCCCTGTGCCTATGACATGAAAGACACTCAGCCTCGCTGATTTTGAGGACGCTCGCGGGCAAAGCCTTTCTTCGTTATCTGCACGCGATGCATCTCCGGACAATACGTCCGAGGCGTCACGGGAAGTACATCCCATGCTCTTAGTAACCGGGCGCCACGCACCACGCCCGCCCCGAGCGACGATTTTCCTCGTCGAGGAGTTCGAGGAAGTCGACTACGAGTCGGATACTCCTTTCCCAGCATGGGAAGACTTTTGCCGCTTTAGGTTTGTTTATTGTCAAGATGTGGCCTGAATAGCTGTGTCGAAAGATAGTTGAATGTCGCTGGTGCATCAGACAGTTTCTGTGGCATGAAATGCACCCCACTTTCAATAATCTTCCGAGTTAAAAGGATACTATTCTCTCATTCTAGCAGTTGATGATAGTTATTACCTAGGTCACGAACACCAAACAAAATTAGGGTTACAATGCTGCTCTTTAGCAGATCGCTTCTCGAAATTAGCGTTCACACCTGTATCATGGCTATATTTACCATATGTAAAATATGCTGGATTCGTCACTTGCTGTTAGCCTTTCCGACACAAAATGCTGGCACCGAATCAGGAAAATTATGCCTTTTCACCAAGCCTGCTTTATGATGTACCCAATAAATAGCGACAATGACGCTATTCCCGTGGAAGGGGGCCATTGCCGCGTGGCGCAATATTTTGGGCTCCGAAACCAAGTCACTCTCATAGTGTACCTTCATTTCAGGAGGTATTACGCGTGGTGAATACTCTGTCATCACGCCAGTATATTCCTTTAATAAACGATAGAAAGGAGAATCAGGGTCTAGGAGGATAGCTGGCTCACCCGCATTTTTCATGCTCTCAATGACGGATTTTTTGATGGCAAATGACGAGCTCAGCTCCTCCATTAGTTGTAATATTTTAGTTATCGCACCGTCATGCGATTTCTTGCGACATCCCCGAAAGATATGCTTCCAACTTCTCAAAAACTTGTGCCGGAAGGGCTACTCAGTCACTGCTTTACATTCCAAAAATTGTCTAATCTTTATTTGCCGCTTACCCATGGAGATTGACTGCTTTGCACGATAGCCCATCACACAGTAGTGCTAAATTGTCAGTACCGTCATATTGCTCCAAGGATGGTCATTATTTTTACTCGAATCTGGTCCATCATCTCGTGACTTACAGCCGTCCATCA